CAGCGTGAGGCTGGCTGCTGACTGCAGGCCGCGTCTGCCCTGCTTGTGGATTTGTTTTTATTCACAGGGGTCCTTTTGGTTTTAATAAGTTTGGGTTTTGTTTGTTTGTTTTGTTGGGGGGGTTAGCAGCCTTGTGGGTTCGAACATCTGTATGAATGGCAATAGCACCTGTGTTCCTTGCTTAACTTTTTCGTAATTATCTAGATTAGCAGAGGACGGACGTGTTGCTAAGATCTGATTTAGTGACCGTTTAAAACCCGGCTTGGCTTTGGTGGCTCTTTGTTCGTGTCCTCTCTGTATTTACATGGTTCGTAGGAAGGGTTCGGTGTGTGTTTGAGAGAAGCAAGGTGTGCCCAGGAGCCTTCCCTGTGTTCTCCTAGAGATCTCTTGTAATGAGAGGCCTCCTGAGTTGGCCTCTCACTACAAGAGAGACATTGAGGTGCTGGAGCGGGTCCAGAGAAGAGCAGCAAAGCTGGTGAAGGGTCTGGAGAATAAATCTGATGAAGAGTGGCTGAGGGAACTGAGGGTGTTTAGTCTGGAGAAGAGAAGGCTCAGGGGGGACCTTATCGCTCTCTACAGCTACCTGAAAGGAGGATGGAGTGAGGAGGTGGCTGATGTGTTTAGACTGGATATTAGGAAACATTTCTTCACCGAGAGGGTGATCAGGCATTGGCACAGGCTGCCCAGGGCAGTGGTGGAATCACCATCCTAGAAGTGTTTAAAAATTGTGCAGGTGAGGCCCTCAGTGACATGGTTTAGTGGTGGTCTTTGCAGTCTCGGGGTAATGGTTGGACTTGATGCTCTTAAAAATGTTTTCTAACCTCACTGATTCTAAGATACTGACTCAGTGCATCTTCTCAGGGTGGTGAATTTGGCTTTTTATCCCAGGTGAGGAGATGGAAGGGAGGGGAAGTGGCTGCCAGAGAACTGTAGAGTACCTGGGCTAGGCTGTAGGTCACTGGAAGGGATGCAAGGGGAAACATGGTTCTCAGAAGTGCTTATTTAGGTATCTCTTCATTACCAGTTCTGCAGAAGTGAAATGCTCCCTTTGTGTTGTGGGGATTCAGGCGCTGGCTGAGATGAACCGGTGGAGAGAAGTTCTGTCATGGGTCCTACAGTATTACCATGTCCCTGAACATCTGCCTCCAAAAGTTCTGGAGCTGTGGTGAGTTTCTGTCTGTGGCTGTTGGATAGACGCAGGGCTTGCACTGGGTTTAACAGCAGACCAGACTTGAATACTGTGTGATAGTTTTGCTTTCTGTGGTGTGAGGATGAAAGAGGAACCAGAGTCAGGCCTGTTCTTGTCCTGTGTGTTTGGGAACATGCATGCACACTGCTTCATGGTGATAAAGCACAAAAGGGGTGATGCTGAGAAAGTAACATCAGTGGTTGCACCTCTTGCCTATCTTGATAAATGCCTTCATGATAGCTGCCTGTGGATAGGAACTGTCAGCAATCTCAGCTTTTAGTGAGTTGGTGTACTCTAACATTTCTTTCTTGTATTTCAGTATCCTGTTGTACAGCAAAGTGCGAGACCCCCAGGTGATGCTGGAGGTTGGCAGCAGCTGGCTGAGAGACCAAACCAATAAGAGCCTCCCCGAGTATGGGTCGTTGCTGGAGCTCTATCTGTTGCACGTGTTGCTTCCGCTCGGCCGGTTTGAGGGAGCAGAGGAGCTTGTACGTGGCTGTGATGTTTTTGATAGCCAGCAGCAGCTAGCATTTCTAGGGACCATTTGTGAAAGCCGATGTCAGTGGACTCAACAGGAAGAGATGCATTTGGCTGCTGAAGAACAGCAAGATGCAGCGACAGAAACTGTTTTGGGTAGGCTTTCCCACTGTTACTTGTGCTTCTCTTCTTTTTTTTATCATTTGATTTCAAGTTAGTTAGTTGCTACCTTGTCAAAGGGTAGCAAGTATTAACTATTTATCAAGAATATTGTCATGAGAAGCCAGCCATGAGGAAGTCTGGTTATTGAAGGAGACGGAAGACTTAGTGATCCAATGCTGAAAATTACAAAGTATGTTTAGTCTCTGCCAATGTCAAGACATGAGAATTATTTTCCAGGTTCAAAAGCACTTCAAAATTTTTAATTTTATTTTTTAAGGCAAACTAAAACTATGTAGCAATCCTTTAGGTGGATGTTTTGTTGGCTCTGTGTACTCTCTGCTTTATCTCCATTTATAGTCAAGCCCATGTAGAACAATGCATGTCTGGCATTTAAACTACTGCTTCTCCTCTAGAACTGTAAATCACTTGATGTTATCTCCCAGGAGCAAAGCTGGTACTACTGTGATATAAGAGCATATTATACTAAAGCAAGTACCTAAGAAAAAAAAAAAGATATAATGAATTGCATTAGAAAAGGGTACTGTTTCTCTGTTTCCTATTATAAAAAAGGCAAGAAACCAAGCCAACTCTTAAGCAATCAAACTAAGAGTCTTACTTCAGTATTTTAGTTTCTTATTATCTGTATGTCTGTGATTACTTTTTGTACTCTGCTTTGTCCTAACAGCTTTTCTGTTCTTGTACTCTAGGTGCTTTGTCCCAAAAGCTCTTGACCATGTTGACATTGCTGCATAGAGCACTGAGGTCGATGTCAAGCCATTTCTATTTATTTCCTTACAAAAAGATGCTCTTGGCTACTTTTCTGCTGTATCTGGTGGTGGTGAGATTAGACCCAGGTACAGTATTGAGATTTAAGATTTTTTAAATTCCATTATGGTTACAGAGAAGAAAATAGTTGCTTTAATAGATTTGGTTTGTGTAAATGTCTCATCTTTGGGAGACACAAAACCTGGATAACTAGGAACTTGCTAGTAGGCTTGTTTCTGATGCTTCCAGTTGCAATCTGTGTAGCTCTACAAAAGTTTTCTGAAAACAGTTATTCCATCCTCAGTTCTTTCCAAAAGACAAAGTACAGACTGTGAGAGGCAGCTGAGCTGTCCTAGACTCAGCCTCTGCTTCAGTCATCTTGAGGTGCTACAAGTGAACGTCTCCCCAAAGAGTGAATTCCTGACAGGCTGTCATGTCAGGAAAGCAGAGAGCTGCTCAGGGTAGCAATGTAGTCATGCATTTGATCTGCTTGTGCTGGAGCTTCACTAGTGGTGGCTGCTGTCACTGTAGAATGGGCTGGTGCCATGATGCAGAAGTGGCAGTGGGAGGGTGGAGGGGATTGGTGTTTACCTTTCTGCTGGGTGTCTGGTGCTCCATAGCCATTCTGCAAGTAGTCTGCTGAATAATACTGAAGGTAGCATATTGTGGATGGGACCAGTGCCCTGAGTGAAGGCCCAGGTACTGAACCAAACAGAAGGTAGTAAGACACCTAGCTTTCCATTCATTCTAGTTGGGATTAGTTCTTTCATAAGATGTGAAGTGTATGTTAGTTTTACCTTTTATAATGAAAGGCTCTTTTGCCACTTTTGTTCTGCAGCTTCCCCCACATCGCTGCCATTCATTTCAGGCTTGGGCAGCTGTGTTTTCTCCAATCCACAGGCCTCCTATTCAAGACTAGGTTCTTCTATCACAGAATGTTTTTCTCCGCTTCTGTAAAGGTGTCAGCTTGTCTTGAGGATGTTATAAGGCTCTTCAAGGACTGTTGAAATCAGTGTCCTAATTGAGATGACCACCTGTGAACTCCTGTGTGGTGATACTTCATTTCTTCAGACAGGGAATGGTGGTATGTGAATTTTTAAACCATGCCAACTATTCCTGACATTTTGCTTGGCTCTACAGCACTGATCTGTCCAACACCAGGGCAAAGCCACTCCTTCTGTAATCTACAGCTGAATAAGAATGCTCCTTTTCAAACACTTTGCTTTGGATGTAGTTCTTGAGCAAGGGTTGTGTAGCCAATTACTAACTACGGAAGAAGGTTTCATCTTTGTGAATGCTGGGCAGCAATCTGAATAAGTGAAATAGTGTTCCTGGAGGCATGACTGTAAAAGGCAACAGAGGGGAATATTTTGTTTTGCCTCAAGACAGCTGAAAAACCCTGTTCCTGCAGCATGGGTTTTAGAACAAGCATGTGGAAGAAAAGCACTGGAAAAAGTGAAGCCTATTGTATATGGTTTCTTTTGTGACTGATGCCTCCTTACACAGGCACTCTTGATTTTAGTTATATTTAAGCCAGAAAGCCAAGATGGTGGGCCACAAGGACTGTTGTTCTGTGTCTGCTCTTCTTAAATGCAAATAACAGCACTTTATGCTTGCCTCATGCATAGTAGTTCTTAGGAGCATGTGGTGGTGGTAAGGAAATAGATTTATTTTTTTAAACTATATTCTATATTATTATCTAGTTGAACAACAGAAGTTGTAGCACTGTTTTAATATTCGCCTCTGTTGCCTTTTACCCTACCTCTTGCTTTGTTTCCATAGATGTCAGAAAGTCTCTGTGTCTAGAGTTGCCTCTCCCTACCCCTAGTTTCTGAAGTCCTGGGTTACGTGGTAGCCAATTAGCAATGCTCTATCATTTGGAACAAAAGTTTATTAGTAGGTGGGAACATACACTTCTCTGAGATACCAAAACATTCCCCAGATCTGTGGCAAGAATATTACTATCTTTGCATATCTGTCACTGACTAACACCCTTTCCAGCCACTTGGGGCAGAAATTGGAGGTTTGGCATAGAACATTTGTTTCTTACCCATCCATCCATTAACAATCCCATATCCTTCCCCAAAGATTTTGTCCTGCTAGGACTTCACACCAGAATAAATAGCACATAGTGCTTCACCACATTAAAGTTATATCTTATAAACTGCTCACATAGGAAAGAGCTGCTCCTGATATTGCTAGATGATTCTTTTAATCCAACCATAGTGTAGTTACAACTCTGCAACCAACAGTTGATTGGAAACCAGGTAGAATAAAGCACAGAAGCTCTGTTTGGAGTAATTTCTTGAAAGAACTTGACTTGGTTGTGCCTACTGGCCCCCCACTTTGAAAGGCCTCGCTTTAAGTCCTTTGTAAGGCAGTTAACGGAACAGCAAACTGCACTCTGAAGTGGGGCCAAATTCTGACCAAATGGATTGTTTAGGTTACAACCTTTTTTTTTTTCTTTTCACCCCTCTTGTTTTCTATTAACATTTTTAGTTAGATGGCAAAGGTGCAGTTTTGGAGGTTGGGACCAGTGGTCTGAGCAGGCCACACGCTGTTTACAGACTGCTGTTAAATGTCATAGCTATTTGTTTACCAGGACTTTAACATTCAACTTAATTTTGAAGTGTAGGCTGGTAACCTTCACTTCTTTTGACTACTACTGATTTAGCATTTGTATTGTGTTTAATCCTCCATGAGAGGGCAAGAAGGCAGAATTTTGCAATTAATACTAAACCAGCAATATTTAATTCTCACAATAAAGTGACTACTGATTTACCTCTTTGTTGCTTATTTCTGCTGCGATTAAATATATGAAAACTTCTGTGTTTAATGTATTGATTCTTTGCATTTTTCAGATAATTTCTGGAAACGTTTCACTATGTCTCCTCATTGTACAGATGTATTTGAATGAAGTAGAGGACTTGTTCAGTGGGAATCTGGTGAGATCTAGTCAGCTAGTCATAGAATCATAGAATGATTTAGGTTGGAAAGGACCTTAAGAATATGTAGTTCCAACCCCCCTGCCATGGGCAGGGATGCCTCACCCTAGACCATGTTGCCCAAAGCTCTGTTCAACCTGGCCTTGAAATCTGCTGGGGATGGAACATTTACCACTTCTTTGGGCAGCCTGTTCCAGTGCCTCTTCACCTTCACAGTAAAGAACTTCTTCTTTATATCTAACCTGAACTTCCCTTGTTTAAGTTTAAGCCCATTACCCCTTGTCCTATCGCTACAGTCCCTGATGAAGAGTTCCTCTCCGGTATCCTCAACTGATGATGTTGGTAGGGTATAAGTCTGCATTTCCATAGGGGTTCAGAGAGTGACAATTACTTTCTGTGAAAGACCCAGCATATATATATATGTTTTTTTTTTCAATATCCCATTTTTCATATGGGATGACCGAGACCAGTACTAGCAAGAATAAAGTACCTGGTATTCATCTTTAGCTGTGTTTTTCTTTGCGCGCTCGTTATATCACGGAGGGAAAACAGCCATGGGGATCCTGTTGTTTAAGTCTTGTCAGAGAGAATGTGTGTGCACACCATGGGTGTGTGAGCTTTCTGCTAGTAACTCCAGGCCTAAGAGCAAATTCTAGTTCTGCTTTTTTGTTTTGCCATCTTGCTAGATGCAAAAAACTTGTATTGGCCCATTTGTAGGCAGGTGAAAGGCTGAGAACAGTTCTTCATGAGGAGATGAACAAAGGTCACAAGTATAAGGAATGGCTGGCAAAAAGAGGAGGTTTGGTGCCTTAGCAGCAGGAGGCAAGAAGATAATCCCATGAACTTTGTTCACAGATGATCACAAGTGGAATCCCTTGCAATTCGCCCTGTTCCCCAAGTCATTTCAATCAGTAGAACTTGGGCAAGTTAACTCCATGTTCACCATTCACCTACAGGCACCTTTGTCAGAAAGATGCCATCTAAAAATGCTGCCACCTTTTGAAAGTGTAAATGAAGAAATTCTGAAATGGTTAATCTTTTAAATGAGTTCTCAGCAGTGTGTTCACCAGCTGTTAGAATTTGAAGGAGGGGAACCTGTTATTTGTGAAGATACCCCGTACATGTAAAATTCTGGTTGTAATTTCTTCTTTTCCTTTTTACAAACCCCAAGGCTTAGTTCGGAGAATTAACTGGGAAGACTTGCTTAAGAGTGGACTTTAGGGCTGGGTCCTGTTGATGGGTGAAAGCAGGCTGCTGGCATAGCGGAAGACTGGGTGAAATGGGATGGTTGCCTGGGAGACATTATGACCTCTCCTGCTTATGCTGTGATGCTGAGGGGCGCCTGCCAGTGAGGTATAGATGTGCTGTCATCTTGTACTAGGCTGCTTCTACCACAGGAGGAACATCAGTAACCAAAGCTGCTGCTACAACCAATCAAGAAAGGAAACGTGTGGGAGAAGCAATGGTAAGAAAAAGAATCCAGTTATTTTATGAGGTAACGAGCAGTGTGTTTGGCCTCCTATTTCCCCCTACTCTGGTCAAGATCTAAGTGAAGGTGGGAAGCTTGAAGTGCTTTTTTTTTTT